GGTTGAAAGCTTTCATAAGTGAATACCATTTCTTGTCTTCATTTTGCTCTCCAAACCAAGTACCCTGGAGTGACTTTATCAGTAAATGATCTAGGACTCACTCTTCGAGGATTTTTCCATGCTTTAATCATCTCATTCATCCTCTGAAATGCTTTTGGCTCACTGTAAGAGAAATCTAATTGATGAAGCCCATAAGTCATAGGAATGAACTGTTCTCCCCAAACTGCCTTTTCACTAGGAGTGGTGCATAATTTGTCGCTCCCCATAAACCCAGAAGTGAGATTACTATACTATCCCCACATTGATACAACATAGGCTCACGGTTCATCCATGGGGCCAACCATCTCACCTTGACGCTGGTTAACTTTTGTAGGAAAGTTATCCATTCCTTTTTAGACTTTCGTTTCTGACCACCCACTTTCACAGAATTCTTTGATCGAAGTTCGATTACGGATATAAAGCTTCGAGAAAGCACCATTTTCCCATTCAAAATGGCTTTTCATCCATAAGTACAATAACTGTATGCAACCTATAAAGCGTCCTCTATTTCGACGACAGTAATTCAAAGATCTGACAGTCTCTGCTAATATTACCATTGAAAGATTACAGCCATTGATCACACTCTCGATGAAGTCAACCACCGCTATCTCAATATAACCCAAAACCTTTGGAAAGATCACCATTCCGTATATGGCTAAGGCAAATATATCTAACCCCCGTTCTTCATTGACATGTTGCAATAGAAACTCATGAAAGAACTTCCAAGGTAGGCAAACCTATTCTTATTTCTTTTTTGTATGAGAATCCATAATTTCCTTGTCTATCCCCATGAGTTGAGCCAGACCCTTACGAAATCCTGACTTGTGTTTTTTGACATATATCTTGTCAGGAGCCTTGAGGTGTAAACCCAATAAAATCGAATATTCTTCGATGGTGAGAGTCATATCAGCTTTATTAAAGATGAAACACTTGTATGCAGGATCCCAGAATTATGCTGCAGCTCTGATTAGTTGATCATCAACAACTACTGCTAGAAGGTGTGCTATATGACCGTGTCTTGGCAAAACTGCTCTTGTCTTGACGGACTCATCCTCTTCCAGATATCAACCAAATCCTCTAGATTATTCTGTTTGAGGAGGATAGATGTTTCTTGAGACAAGGTAGAATCATATCCGATTGGTAAACAATCCTCATCTTCAGTTGAATCTTTTCTGACTGGGCCCTTACTTCGTTGGGTGTCTCACAAGGTGCTAATACGGATGAAGAACAAACTAGTCGTTCATTGGAGTCCATGAAAAAATTTGTTGAAGACCATCTTTCAAGCAAATGTTCTTTATGCAACTTTATGATATGCATGAACCAATGCAAAAGAATGAGAAAAAGGTTAGTATGCTAATAAAAAAAAGAATAAATAAATAACTAAGTAAATTTAAACATCACATAAAAAAAGAGGAATGAATCCTATGCTTTTGGTCAATTCTAAAAGGGAAGAGTGATGGCTCTATCTATAGGTTAGGCACTCTTAAGGTTCACTATATGTGGTTTAAGGTCAAAGTCTAAAGGTTCCAAATTGCTCCTTACATCCTTGTCCATCACAGACTAGTAAGGCACCCTAATCCTCACCCATTACAGGCTGCAAGCGAAAAAGGTTCAATTTGAGTGGGAGTATTTCGCTAGCCACTGCGGAGGCATTAGACCTCACGAAAGCAATAGGTACTTTACTCCCTCCTAGAGGGACGGAGCTCGGGTATAGAGCTCATGTTATGCACATGCATATGAATGACATAATTAATAAAGTAAATAAACATGAATGAATAATAACACATATATACAAAAAGGTTCAATTTTATTAGGCTTTTGGATAACACAAATTTATTTGCTGGCCTGACTCTCAGTTCCCAATGGAGTCGCCAAGCTGTCATAACGTCTAGATCCGAGGATCTATCGCTAGACATTGACTTGAAGGAGTCGCCACCAATCTTTTTTATCTAGGTGCGATTGGCCACCTAAGAAATCTATCCTTTCAGGTAAAACCTAAGTTTAAGGGTCCCTAAAAGAATAGGTTCGGGTCTACTAACCAGAACGGGGTTTGAGAGTTCGGTTACATGTGAGAAAGTTATAGCACTCTTATAATGCCCATCAAAATATGGTACCAGCTTAATTTTGTGTTACCCAATAAACCTTAAAAATTTACCAAGTAATTAGTTGTTAGAAATTGTTCTCAATTAACTCTAATACTTTTAGCAGAAATTTGAAAAAATCCCCTCACCTCAAAGTAATGCAAGAAAACTACTGTTTCACTTGCAGAGGCTCTATCGTTGGATATTTAACATTAAAAAAAATAAAAAAATGATTGTTTTTATGCAGGGAAAATTAATACTTTCAACTTTTTTCCCAAAAATATTCTTTGAACTTTAATTTCAAGAAAAATTGATACTTTCAACTTTTCCTCAAAAATATTTTTTTAAAACTTTAATTTCGAGAAAAATTGATACTTTCAACTTTTCCTCAAAACCTTATTTTTTTTGAAAATTTATTTTTAAGAAAATTGATACTTTCAACTTTTCCCAAAAATATTTTTTTGAAACTTTTAATTTCGACCCAAAAATATTTTTTGAAAATTTTAATTTCGAGGAAAATTGATACTTTCAACTTTTCCTCAAAAATAATTTTATTTAAAAAAATAAAAAAAATAAAATTAATTAATTAATTAAAAATGAAAATAAATTAAAAATGAATAAAAATAAATAAAAATAAAAATATTAAACAATTTTGATATAATAATAATAAAAAATAATAAATAAATAATAAGAAAAAAAAACACCTGGGAACGGCTCGGCTTGCGCTCGGCTCGGCTTCGAGGAAGAAAAAATGGCTTGGAGAAACGGCTTAGGGGTGTTGGCTCGGCTCGGTTAACGGCTTGAGATGCAGGTCGCACGCGAGTCGAAAGCAGGTCGGTGCTCGGGTCGGGTTGGATTTTGGCAAAACGTGCGGATCCTCTGGTTTACTTAACACAGAAACGATGTCATTTTGAGAGGATATATAAGGCTGATTCCTTCATTTTTTCAGCAGAAACCTTCTTCCCTCTCTCTCTCTTCCTTCTCTTCTCTCCCTTCTCTCTAAAAACCCGAAGAACTCCGGTTTGAATGGCCGTCGAATTCTAAAAATTTTCGTCAGAATCTGGGTTTTTCACCGAAAGTTCATCGAAAAATTAATCGATTTCTAGAAATGGTTGCCGAAAACTGGGAAGTTGGCTAGAAACTTCAAACTTGACCAGAATAGTCACCGAAAAATTCAACCTTCACTGAAAAATTCAACCGAAATCTAAAAATTTTCCAGAAAAAAAAATTTGCAAAAATTCTCCAAAAATTCTTATCGATTCTTAGGGCTGCTCTAAATGCACCAAAACTTTTTTAGTTTTTAAATCTTCTCTGTATCTGCCTTTTCTCTTAGCCAGTAACTCTTTTTCTCTATTTTTTCCTTTGATCCAAGGGTCCTTTATAAGGATTGATCAGAAGAGTTTCTGATCAATCCCAATTCCTCTTTGGATTGGGATTCAATCATTGAATCCAATATGGACTTTGATTGAATCCCAATTCATGGTAGGATTTCTCCAAAATCAATCCAATCTTAAATCGAAAAAAATCAAAAAAATAAAAAAAAAATCAAATAAAAATATTAATGAAAATAATCAGATAAACCAAAAAATTAACAGATGAATTAAAAATAAATAATAGATAAATTATAGTATATAATCAGATAAATATATATATAAATATTAACAAAAAAAATAGTAATAATAATAAGGATATATATATATTAATAAATAGTAATAATAAATAAATAAATAATAAATACATAAGATAAAAATAAAAGAAATATATATATATAAAATAAAATATAAATATAAAATACAAAAATAAAGATAAAAAAAATGGGCTTACTCATTTGGACCAGGCCCAATTGATTTGGGCCTGGACCAAATTGGGTGTCTACATTCATAAAATAATCTTGTCAATCAATAAAAATATACTAAAAACTATAGCAAAGAAACATAAATAAAGGATCCAAAAATCCAAACTCACCATAAAAAGAGAATTTTCTATTCAACCATCATGAAAAACTTTTCTATGTTTGATTTTGAAACTTTATCATGTTAAACTTAGTGACAAAAATCTGATTGATTTATCTTTTTATAAAAATAAAATATTGATTGTGAGAAGAAATCACATATACATATATATATTTGATCATTATTTAATTTAAAAAATGTAATTTATCCAAATTTAATTTTAAATTAAGATAAAAGAGGTTAAATATGTGTAATTTTAAATTGAAATATAATATCTTTCTCTTTTATTTTAAATCATAGGAAAATAAAGGCAAAAAAAAGGTAAACATAAGTGATTTAGCTATAAATTTTATTTATTTAAATTTATATAAATATTGATTTAGACGGTATATGATTTTTTATAATTCTTAAGATTTAGAAATTAATCTTTAAAAATTATCAGAATTTTATATTTCATATATGGATAATGGTGAAGCATGAGTTATGTTTTTTTGGATTGAAATTATGATAAAATTTGTATACTTTGAAAGACTTAAATAAATATAAATTTTAAAATTTAAATAATTTATTAAATAAAATTACTTAAAACTATTTTACGTGTCACACCTAAACATCCATGTAAATAAACTTTATTAGGTTGTTGTAATATAATATTGTATGTTATTTCAAACAAATATATCCTCGTTTTGGAAGTACAATAAGGACTTACCAACCCTAAAACTTTTTTTTGGGTACATAGGAATTTTTCCAGCATATTTTAGTATATGTATTTGGGGTAACTCACTTTATTCATCATACTTATTGATCATAATTTCTTAAAAAAAGAAAACTTTTATTTTCCGTATGCTTATAACGAAGCACTAAATCTACTAGTACAAAATTTTCAAATGAAATGAACCGCAACTTTATTGAAAGATATATGCATATATCCCCAAGCTCGCCATAAAAAAAATCGTGGAAGGAATAATGTGAACTATAAGAAGAATGACATCCTCCCTCGGTACCATATCTTAGAAAATTAAACCCATGACAATTGCCAACACGGACAGCAACAAACTGGCAAAAACAGCTGAAGATGAAGAATTAGGAGTGGCATTTGGGGCTGAAGGCCTCGACCCAGTGGGACCAGATGTCGGAGACGGTGTGCAATCAGCGGGTGTGCCTGAAGTAGGAGAAGGAGTGGTTGGATTAGTAGTCGGTGAAGGTGCTGGAAAAGGGGAGCCAGAAGCGCCTGAAACAGTAATGGCTAATCTTTGGCCAAGTTGACAGTGCTGCCCAATTGTGCAAATATAATAGTGTTCGCCAGTGGAGTTGAGGGTAACGTTGGCTGGACCATTGGTGAGCATATTTCCGATAGGGTTGGCGCCGCTGCATGCATCGAAGGATAACTTGGGGACTTGTAGCACGTCATGCTCATTTGTTGTGAAGTTGAACACTGTTAAATATGTAATTATTTTAAATTTAGATTAAGAAACTAATCATATCTTTACTCAAAGTGAAAGAAATGGTAACTTCAGTTAAATTTTTTCATGAAAATTACATAAGGGGAAAGAGAGATAAAATGAGAGCTTTGATAATTACCCAATATGTCTCCAACCATGAACCTCTTACTAGCAGCCCAAGTGCTGTATGCTGAGGGAACGTTCGAGGGAATTGTCCATCCCATGTCATCCCCCACCACATGCACCGTTTGCGCGGCCGTGAATTGCATTAGAGCCACCGCAATGATGATACCAACAAAAGCATGCATGCACATGAACCTCGTCATTGATCTCTCGCAATCTACTATTCAATTGAACTATATATAAATGTGGTGATGTATCGCTATCTAGCTAGCTATGTCAATGTTTTTAATATTTGTGTGATGAGAAATATGAAACATTTTTAGGCCTATATATATTAGCAGAGCTGAGCTGAGGAAAAAGTAAACGTAGATGCCGAGTCTGCAAAGGAGAAAGAGATGGGTGGTGGGCACTAACGTAGACGAGAAGGACGAATGCCGGTCTGTTTTGTACGTGTGTGACGGGGTCCCCCGGTCAACCCAATGTTGAAACTCTCAACTGAAGATTAGTCTGACGATATTTATTCTTGGGCCACAGAAAACTTCCCTGTTAGTCAAAGAAACTTATTCTGAAATTACAAATAGTTTTTCTCTAATCAATTGGTTTGGCTTGGCTTTCTCCAACAATTAAACAAGAGTTAATTAAAATTTTTTATCTGAATTTCGGAAAATATACAAATTGTTATCAAAAATAATAAAATGTACAATTTGTAATATGAATTTTTAAATATGTATCATGTTAACTCAAATTCTAATCCCACAAATTATATTAACTTATACATATGAGGTGTTTATTAAATATTATCAAATTATGTATTTATCATGTATTCTATCAACATTTTTTAATATAAATTGAAAAAAAAAATTTTACCTAAACCATAAAAAATTATCTTGAATCGATTAATTATTGTCTGTCACCTAACATCCATGTGGGATTCACATGAAATTCTTTCAAAATATTTAACATTTTGATTTAATAAATAATTTGCATATAATAAAATTATATTAATTAGATATCATTTAGACAAATTAAGTTAACATATTAGAATTTGAATTAAAATGAAATAATATTTGAAATTTTAAAGTATAAATTGTATATTTTATTTTTTAATACCATTTTATATATTTTTATAAAATTCAAATACCAAAAATATAATTAATTCATTAAACAACTATAATTGTGTCAAATGTCAATGACCTTGGACTAAAGACTCAAAATTTTTGAAGAAACTAATACAACAACTTTCCATGCATTAAAAGAAATAATTCATGGCTAGTGATAGAAAATTATTCTTTTTTAATTTTTTTTTTTAAACGTGTCCTGGTTATGAAAAGATGTTAAAGAAAATATTGCACGGCTTTCGACTAATATGAAAAGAAAAGTATATTGCATTATATATTCCCTTCCATGCGGAGATATTAGTCTCAGTTCTCAAAGTCAATAAAATAATTTGTTTTTTGAAATAAACTTGGAGGATTCCATACGATTGATGGTTTCTAATTGGGTCATCTCAAGCTTTCCTGCATTTTTTTCCTAATAGCAAAGACTTAGTTTTACCAACTACAACAACTCTTGGTCATAAATGGTAGTGAACCTTCGTGGCCCCACTTCATTTTGCCTCTTTTGACAATTCTTGTTCATTGAAGAAGTTTGGGACAATTTTTAAAAGGGTTAAATATATTTTTGACCTTTGAACTTTCAAATTTTGATCACATTAGTATTTAAAAAATTTTTCTATCACATTGGTATTTAAATTTTAATTTCATAAGTCAGTTTACCTTAAAAGTTAACTTTGTTAGGAAAAAAAAAAGCTGATATGTTTTAAATGACCAATCAAATAATGTCAACTATCAACAAAATTTCACGTTTTTAGTCTGATTTTTTTCACGTCATGACATATTGATCACATCATATATCAATTTAAAACCAAAGAAAAAATTAACAATTTTATTTTTTAATCGGGATAAAAAAATTGAAAAAGCTAGCTCCTCTGAAAGAAGAAAAAATTTTCTTGCTTTAAAAAAAAAAAAATTCAATGATTTTTTAAGGATTAAGTTTTGAGATTGAGTCTTTGTAATCGTTTCATACCGAGTGATTGGAGTGTATTATTTAAGGCAATCAATTCAGAAAGTTCAATCAATTTGGGTGTTTTGTGTTTAGGGCAAATATCCTTGCATTTTCACTGTTGCACCTGCTTCATCTGGATCCCCACGAGAAGCCCAACCAGTTTCAGAAACAATGACTTCCATCTTGGTATAACCAACTTTTTCCAGTGCTGCATAAGCTGCGTCAACCTGAGCTTCAAACATATTATCATAATGTAGCTTGGTCTTTGCATCATAAATTCCAGGGTTATCTTTGAATAGAGCATAGTTAATGTCAATATGCTCGGGATCATTCTTATAGGCTAGAAATGGATATGCATTTATATAAAATGGAGAACCTATCTGAGAGAAAAACTGCAAAAGTGGCCGCATGAATGGAAGAACATCAGGTTTGAAGATGCAGGCAGATGGAAGGAAGGAAGGCAAATACAGCCTCTGAATGTGGACTTGAAACCTGAACAGTCTCATTTAAACCCAATCTGTAAAGAGCACCATAAACATTCTTTGCTGCTGGCAGTAAAACCTCCCAGAGTTCCAAATCAGCAGCACCCAATATCTCATTCCCCACAGCAATTCCTCGGATACGAGTTCCAGAAAGAAATGGCTGTACGTTTTCTTTTATCCAATTCATGGCGCGATCCTCCCCAACACTTATGTCTTTCAAATACTCATTGGGAAGTCCAACTATAATTTCTATACCATAACCTTTAAAGGCCTTGAGAACTGCATGATCGGCGTCATAGATTCGAATGTGATTTATCTTTGCGGCTCTTAGGAGTGTCACTACACTTTCGGGCGATGGTAGATTGTTTGCTATTCTGCCATAATTTACTCCATAGGTCCATGTGACTGAATGTGCTGCTGAAACTGCACGTATAATAATTTAACTCAGCATGCCAATACTTGAAAGCCAGAGTAATTCATCAACTCAGCAGGCAACCTAACTTATAATGAAAAAGATATTAGAATACATTTTCCAACCAGATAATGGAATAAATCAAGCCAACCATATTGCTGAACAAAGAGACTTTTAATGGTCTACTCAATTCAATAGTATTCAACATTAATTCATTTCTTCTGTGACTATACATGATACTTAGAGCAATTATCTTACATATTCAATAAGAATTAACAAAAAAGAAAAAAAAAAGATCAAAAGGAAGGGTACGTACCCGGAGAGCATTTGACGGAGACGATGAGGAAGAGCAAGAGAAAATGAGAAGAACCCATATGAGATGTAGGAAGATAATCAAAGAAAGTGCATTCCATTTGTAGAAAAGAGGTGGGGATGTTCCAGTCTTTTGTGACTTAAAAGCAGTAACAAAAAGAATGCAATACTTGTTCCGCAGGCATGCCATAGAACACCCAAGAAAATATTCTTAACCTTGGTTTAAAGATGATGTGCCAAAAAGACCAGAGAAATGAAGAAGATGATTCTTAACCTTAACCCAAAGATTAAAAAAAAAAAAGCTGAAAGATTCTTTACACTCAATGTATGCCATTTTTTGCAACTTTCTATTCTTGGGTGTTAGTCTGATTACAAGAATGTTCCATTCACTTTGGAGACACTGTTGCTCTTTTCAAAAAAATTGAGGTCAATATCTTGCAGGTGGATAGTTGAATATTTATTTTTATATACCTTTCTTCCGAAAAGAGGAGAATTGAATCATGATTGATGATATGATAGAAATAAGTTTGGCTTTTGTTTGTATCTTTTGCATTACAGAGGAGGCGTCATGATTAAGAAGCTGTTTAAGCTTGGAGAGGAAATCGCTTTGAAGTGCAGAAGATTCTATTCCACACACGAGGACTGATGAAATGATTCCCACAAGTCATCACAGCTACAAAGACGATGTCACCTTCTTACCACTGCCCATCTTTCCATCCACCTTTGTCCATTCTTCACAGTGATCAAACTAACTACGCAAACCAAATATATGCATTGCCTAAACAACAATATTAAAGAATACACAATGCAGTTAATCTATGCCACATAACATGTTATGCCCAATTTGAAACTTGAGCCACCAACCGTAAGTCATGAGTTCCAAGTGCCTACAATCCAAGTTCTGCACAAAGTAACAAAAGCTGCAATGTTTGAAACCTACTTCTAACAGGGATACAGGTTGATTTCCCTACTTACAATCAAATCTAGCATCAACAGCATAAATGTTAGAGTCATCCATAGAATCATAGAGGTTACAAGGGCAAATACAAAAAAGACAGTACCACAGGATAGCTAGGATATTAGATGGTATATTTAGCAGCTTACAGGAGCAGGCCCAGGAGGTTGTGGGGCATCAGTTTGCCCACTTGGTTTAACCTTACCATTTTCAATCACCTCCGCATCTACTGCCTTGCCTTTCTCCTCTAACTGAACATTACACTTGCCAGCAACCTCCTGTACACCTTTCTGTCTGGCCTCTCCCTCAGATATGGGGATTGCTCCCTTTGGCTTCTCTTTCTCCACTCCCCCATTAGCTTCCAATGTTGCAGTTTCTGGCTTTTCTGATTGTTTCTCACACGTACCATTCTCTTGCTCAGCCTGAGTTTCAGGAACCTTTTCAATAGGGGCTTCCTCTTCTTTTTCAGTTTGAATTGCATCAATGCAACTAGCTTCTGCAGGTTTCTCTTGAACTTCCATAGGAGTTGGGGTTTCTTCAGCACCAGCAGCCTCTTCTTTTTTATCATCCTCTGCAGTTTCTGGTATCTTACCATCTTTGCCAGCTTCTTCTTGCCCAGCATCCTCCATCTTGGCATCCATGTTTGCAGTGTGATCAGCTGCTAGCGTTTTACCTCCATTTTCAATGGAAGTATCTCTTTCTTTTTCACCTTCTGCAGTTTCCTTCTCAGTGGCTTGTGTATCTTCCTTTTCACTCTCTTTCTCACCCTCAGATTTTTCAGGAACAGCTGCTGTTTCTTTGTCTTCCTTCTTTCCACTCAATGATTTTCGGCCTCGCTTCTTTGGGGGTTCCTTCTCTGGTGTTGGAGTAGCCTTGGCCTTTTCACTGATCCTCGCTGATCTTCTAGGGGTCTCACCAGTACCCCAATCAAATTCTGTTATTGAAGGATTACCAGGATGCGATTTCAGATACTGCTCCAATTGTTTTCTGTTATTAATCTCCTCTCCAGTTGGTGCAATGAACATGATCTCAGTCTTCCTTGGTGAACCAACTTTCTTGGGAAAAAACTGTAACAATAAACAGTAAATACATGTTATACAAGTAGCAGTACAGCCATCAAATCAAGTAAGATAAGAAGCACAATAACTTGAACACTGAAATATTCAAATCAAAATGTGCCATAAGCCATCTGTGTTTCAAATCATGTGAAGCAAGTGGAAGGCACAAATTTAGTAGAATACAGTTATAGTCTATCTATGTGTCATCAAAGCCTGATTTGTTAAAGAAATATTTTGAAGGAGGCTGCATATACATGTCCTGCCAGATCTTCTATCTGAGTGCAGTACAAAACTATTTCCCCACCTTAAATCATAGAATAAGATCAAATCACCACAAACTTCTAATAGCTTTCATTATTTTTCTGAAATTTCATGGGTGCTTCAAGGTTCTTGTCTAAACTCATGCTCCTATAACATCTAAAACTAATTGTACTTATGCTGCATTTTACTTGGATTCTCAAAACTGCCCAGTAAGTGATTATTCCTTCAATTAGTATTTCATAATCCTACTTGCAAATGGCAGAATCCATTCCAATAAAACTGCTCTACTGTCAGTTCAATCTTGCACAATCAGCCATGAGAACCCGTAAAGGAAATTTCAATGAAGTCATCCTAATTTGCAGCAATGACTAACATCGAACCAAATACAACGAAAAGAGAATAATGTGCATCTTACTAGCTTCCAACCTAGCATGATCACCAGCTGCAGCAGTGAGCAAGGTCTCCTTAGTTCTGTTTTCTTTCTTCATTATTCTAATTTTGCCTCTTCTTTTTTCTCCCCTTGTTTGGGTGAACATCCAAACTCCAATGGCAACAAGCACCAGACATATGATACGCATATGGATAAACTCTCCTAGAGTACATATCAAAAACATTTTGCATATGCAACCCTTGAATGAAAACAATTTTGCAGTCCAGCCAATTTAAGTAAATACTATGGTCTTAGCTGTCCAGGTATTGAAAATGCAAATCCACCCTAATCCAATCTGCTAGTGTTACTACAAGGACCTTCCAATTGGTATAGGGTCCTTTATAAATGACAACTGAAAAAAAACAAACACATCGGTTATAACATCAAATAATCACAAACCAGGCATAGACATTAAAACAGTAAATGTAAAACCCACATATATGTACATAAGCTTTTGCCAACAATAATAGAATATAACTATCAAGAAATGCAGCAAAAAGCCAAAACACCAAAAAAAATTTTACACTCAGAAGGATAATTTCTCTAAAACCAATTGTCAATCTGATCCAATACCTGTTTTAAAATCCATGTTGAAAATATATCTTAATTTTTAGAAGAGGGACATGCTAAATGGCTCAATGGATATTTGCAAAAGTAAATAAGTAAAAAACACAAGATACTAAAATTGCAATCACCATGAACCAATTCAAAGCAGGTGAAGCAGAGGACCATATACAAGTATAACAGACAAGGGTGAGTTATTTTGTGTCTACACAAAGACACACGCACAGAAGTCAAAATATTACATCAACTAACATCCTCAACCCTTGCCAAAAGTAGAAACCACTGAATTGCTAATAAGTAACAGTATTACATTACATTTATAACATTAATCAATTGCATTCAATCTAAATAAACACATGTAAAACATTGGAAATTCACATTTAACAGATAGGAAGTTAACAAACTATACATTATAGCTAATAGTTTGATTACGTACTCAGTGCACAGCTATGTGATCGAGCATTCTTGCCATCTGAATAGTAACAGAATCAAAATTGATTGGATATCAACAAAATTGCTACCACTACAACAATGGGCTCTAAAATAGCAGAAAAAATAGAGAATTGTAGATATAGAGTCCGCTTCTTGATTTTTATACCACAAATTTACATTAAAAATAAATTTTAAAGCTCAAAGAACAAGTAAAGGCCCCCCTGTTTATTATTCTGTAAATTTTTCTTAAAGCTCAAAACTTAAGTTGTGGAAAAACAAACTAAAACTCAGAATCAAAGACTGCTGACACGGGTCAAAATGATGAAGATAAAGAGGATCTCCATACTCCATTGTATGCCAAGTGCAACAGGTCAGAAAACAATTAACATAGATGCACCGGCACTACACATAATCATTCCCATTTAATACATTGATGAACGGTAAAAATGTTAAACTTAAAATCAGCCATTAGTGCAAGTAAAGAAGGTCATAGCAGGGGCCAATAGGTGGACTCTAATTTCAGTAAATTTGAATACACGATAACATAGATAACGTATGCTGTAAAGAAACCAACGAATTGGCTAACAGAATTCTCTTACTTCTTCACTAATCAACTAACATTCATTTTCATGGACCATTAATAGATGAAACACACATCCAGCAACTTGAAAGCCCATGATATAGCCACAATCCTCTTTGTAGAAAAATGATGAAAAGTTCAATTCATAAATAAAGCTGTTTCAAAACTTAAAATCAAGATCTCTAAACCATGAAACAGCAATTCGTCATATTCTCATAAGGACTCATGGTTATCTCTGGCATTCAACTACAATAGTACATCATGGCGTATGCTTCCCACTGAGATTGAACAGGAGAACACGTTTTGATAGATTGACTATTCAATCATCAAAACCTAACATTTAACCCTCAGTAACATGATGAGAAACCTTTTCTTGCTTATGACTACACCTAATGGCCACTTAACCATACCATATCTTGATTCAGCAAACAGATTTTGCATAAGAAGCACAGTGTAACCAAATAACCACTGTCAAGTCCAACTGAAACAAGATTCCTAACCACAAGCTGTAAAAGACTGGTGCTGAAGAATCAACATAGCAAAATTTACGTCATTTTTCCTTTAGGCATTAGGTACAACAACATCCTACTTTAACTGACAAGAAACAGCATAACCAGATTTGCATTGATAGTTCAACCACCCCTCACCCCCCTAAATATCTATAAATCAGAGTCCACACATCCAATTTTTTTTTGTCCTAAAAGTTTGCTCTCCTAATACTTGTAAAAGTCTATCTCACAACATCCACATCAATTTGGCAATTTCATAATAAAAGTTTAACATCAAATTTTTTTTCAAATTTTAGAGATTTTTCCCTTGAGTTTTCTCAACCACTACTCAGAAAAGACAGTGTTAGGGAATGCAGACAGTTAAGCTGGGAAAACTAGCACAATTGCCAGTAAAACTCTCATGAAGTTCATAATATAATGCAAAATAGAAGTCCCCCTTTCTTCTAAGAAAAAATTACTTCGGGAAAAACGTGTCAAGCAAAATTTTATTTTCCTGGTTCTGTTTTGGAAAACTTACTCACCATGTCAGAACTAAACTTAAACATGGTTGAAAAGATTAAAACTTCCATAAAGGGAGCACAAAACCCTAACTTCAACTATCACCACCAACAGAAATGTAAAACCTTCAAAAGTAACCCTAATGATAAAAATTAATACCATAACCAAACAAAATTACAACTCAATACCTATAAAAAAAATATCAGTAAATTCCCAAATTTACACAAAAAATAGCCCAAATTTTCCAAGAAAAAAAAAAACAGATATGAACAACAAAAACAAGATACAAAATTCAAAGGAACAAACAAATTAATAAATAAACACACAACCAAATTAATAACAATTAAAACTTTAAAAAAAAGTACCATTTTCTTCCAAGAAGCAGGTGCTGGAAGCTCAACAGAAATAACTTCTTCTTTACTCTCCATTTTTTCACCTGCAAAAACAACAAATTTTTCTCTCAAAAAAAAAAACCAAAAAATACCAACAAACCTTCCCTCTCTAAATTCCCTCTTTCCTTAGACAGGGTTTGCTTTTTTTACTGTTCTGTTCTGTCTCTCTCTCTGTCTCTCTCTATCTCTCTGTTTGTGAAATTTTGTGTTGTGTGGTAAGACGAGAGGCTGGAAAACCGTTGAGACTTCAGGTGGTTTTTTTTTTTTTTTTTCCTCTTTCTTGAAAAATTAATGAGAAAGTGATGCAGCTACAACTCGAGGAACAGAGAATTCAATGGAGAGTTGAAATAATATCCAATGAGAAGGTGCCACTTGGTCATTTAAAGCTAGTTTTGCCTCGTTTCGATTCTCTGTTTAGTCTGGCTTATAAATTTTACTTCTGATTTGAGGTTGACACGCGTCTTGCTTTTAGACTTGGCGTTTCAAAATATCCAGAGAGTACTGTTCGGTCCCTTCATCCCTACTTGTTAATTTGATCCACGCCGTAACATTGCGCGTGGATTGTACGCAAATGTTGAGAAATTTATTTTAATAATGATATTGATTTTAGTCCATAAAAATCCATTTTTTATTTGTTAATAAAAATAGAACATTTCTAAAATTTGAATAAAATTCTTATTATCACTTCCCTACACACTTTTTCTATTGGACTTTGTAATTCTATAATGTCGTTAATAGGAATAAACTTGTATAAATTTTACACTTTTTATTTTTGATTCAAAATTAAATAATATAAAATAATATTTTTAATCTTAACTATTTGATTCAAAAATATAAAATATAAAACTTAAACTAATATAATCAGATTTTTTCAAAATATATATAAGTTATTATTTCTATATTGTAAGTGATAAATCTCGTCCTTTAATCAATATTAATTGTTATATAAATAATATTTAATTTTTTTATAATTTTGTCAAATAATAAAGCATTATATTAATATATCTATTTATCTGATTTAAATGTTTGAACCCGTAACATTTAAATAAAATTATATTAAAATTTAATTTAATTTATTTATACAATCACACTCAATAAATAATTTAAGTTTCAAATTTCAATAATCATTTTTTCTATTTTTAGGTAAGATATTTTATATTAAAAAATAAAATAAAATTAGTATTTTGTTAAAAAAAATTTAATAATTTATTTTAAAAATCTATAAATTTTATTTATTTATGTTCTTATGCAAATTCAATCAATAATAATATTTTTCATGTTATTTTTTAAAGAAAAAATCTTATTAAAGAACACAAAAAAAAGGTGGGTTGTGCTTGCACGCTTTAATATGAGAGTGAGTATGAGACGGCAAAACAAAGATAGGGTGCCCCCATCTCCGAAAACGTGGAAAGTTGAGGATAACGCTTTATATTAAACTGAATTGGAATGTAAATTTGGGGTCCGAACTCGAACGTGATGGTTTTTATTTCTTGCGGTGCGCAGGTTTAATTACAGTTACTGATTCTATTTTGCTATTACTACTAGAAAAATAACCCTGCTATGACCGGGTTTTAAAGTTTTTTTATTTTGACAAAATATATGTTTTATTTTTAATCTAATAATAAATTAAAAATTAAATACTTTTTAGTATTTTGTTGGTTTTATTTTTATTTTTAGAAAACATAATTTCTTGAAAAAAATTAAAAAAATCGATAATTCTAATTATATCACTCAAAAGCAATTAAACAAGTGTTGACTTCTATTTTAAATAAAAAGATTACATTAAAAAATTTTATAAATTAAATTCAAATCCAATAATACATACATAACAATCCAATTTATCAATACAATATTTATTTATTATCAATATTGATCAATTATCAAATTTAAATCTATTTACCTATGAAATTAAAGGCCACTAATATCATCACCCTTTCAGTTTAATTAAAAAAAAAAAAAAAACCTATAATTTTATTATGATATGAGAGATATTATAATAATTTTAACTAATGATAGTATGAGAGTATTTTCGTAATTAGGGCTAGAGAAATATTATAGTAATTTTAACCAATTATAATAGAAGGATATTTTAGTAATTATAATAAGAAAGACATTATAATAATTTTAATTGATTATAGAAGGGGTATTACATTCAATTTGAGCATGTGTTGTTCAATTGTTAAGTAATTAGAAAGGCATTATGATCATTTCCAAGCAAATTACATTCATATTATTATATAGATGTTAAAATTTAATGTGTAATTATTAAATAATTAAAAAAGCATTTTTGTCATTATAGTAAGAAGATATTATAGTAAATTTGATCAATTATAATATTAAGGGCATTTTCATAATTATGGTAGGAGAGGTATTATAATAATTTTGAGAAATTATGATATTAGAGGTATTTTTATAATTATGATAGTAAGAGTGTCATAATAATTTTGCCAAATTATGCTAGGAGGGCATTATCATAATTTTAACTAATTTATTATAAGAGGAATATTTTTATAATTATGGTACAAGAATATTACAATCATTTAGAACACGAGTCAACACTTAATCAAAGAACCATAGGATATTTTGAGAATTTCAATAAAATTAGTAATTTAATATGTAGTTGATTTTATATTATGTTAAATTTTAATATATGTAATTTAATAAAAGTATTATAGTAATTTTCAAATAAAATTTCACACGTCAAATTTCTATGAAATGATGATAAAAGTATTTTAATAATTTTATATATGATTAATTTTATATTATTATGTTAAAATTTAATACATAAATTAAAAAAGATATTATAATAATTTTCAAATAAAATAGTACATGTCAATTTCTTATAAAGTAATCATAAAAATATTTTTGTAATTATGGTTAGGAGTATTATAGTTATTTTAACCAATTTTGGTAGAAAGGTATTTTCTTAATTATGATGAAGGATATTATAATAATTTTGGTTGATCATGATAAAGGAACATT